ACACATAGAATAGAGAAAGACACACAGAAGAGAGGAAGACACACAGAAGAGAGAAAGACACACAGAATAGAGGAAGACACACAGAACAGAGGAAGACACACAGAACAGAGGAAGACACACAGAATAGAGGAAGACACACAGAATAGAGGAAGACACACAGAACAGAGGAAGACACACAGAACAGAGAAAGACACACAGAAGAGAGAAAGACACACAGAACAGAGAAAGACACACAGAACAGAGAAAGACACACAGAACAGAGAAAGACACACAGAACAGAGAAAGACACACAGAACAGAGAAAGACACATAGAACAGAGAAAGACACGTAGAATAGAGGAAGACACGTAGAATAGAGGCAAAGGGTAGATGAGATCACTTAAGACAAGCTGGCTAAGGATGGAGGTGGGTGGTCCTTGGACTTCCCACAGGGCAGGGAACCCGGATTGCTCTTCAGGCTGATAAAAGAGGGGGACTTGATTGGGGGAGGGAGAGGGAAATGGGAGGCGGTGGTGGGGAGGAGGCAGAAATCTTTAATAAGTAAATTAATTTTAAAAAAAAAGAAAAGCTGGCTAGAAACAAGCCAAGCTAAGGCCTGACATTCATCAGTAAGAATAAGTCTCCATGTGATTTAATTGGGAGCTGGGTGGTGGACCCGCAAAAGAGCCAAGAGGAAAAAAAACACACAACTACACCAGCCAATGGCAGCAAACACTGCCTGAAAAACCTCAGCCTTAGATTTGAGACTTATTGTGTGCTATGAACTGCAGTGTTTTTGTTTTACATACCAAGTTTTTTGCTCTTATTGAGACATACTAGTTTGTTTATATAAAATACTTTAACATTTTGATCATCATTCCTAAGATATAATTATGAAACTGTCTATCTTTGAATTAGATTATGTTAGAACATTTGAGTCTAAAAATTGGTATTTGAGTTACTACCGTGAATGTCATGTTTAAAAATTGAATGAATATTAACCTGGTTTTGGGACAGAATTCCCAACAATATTCAAATGACTGTAAGCATATTTCTACCATTTTGTATTATATATTGATGAAAAGCAGCCACCTTGGCATTGTTGACTGTAAAATCAATATATCAATCAACTCTGGAAACGATTGAGAACACTGTATGCTACACCATCACATATCCAACCAAGAACTAGTTCTTCATATAAAACCAAGCAAGCGTACATATCTTGATTGTAAGGAACTTGGCTTTTGCTCTTATAAAACATAACAGCACACTATGCCAAAAAGAAAATCTTTTATGACTTTTATTGGTAAATGATTGATTGTACCTACTTTTATGTAGCAGGCTTTCTCTTGGGCCACCAACCAGCTCCCAAATCATGACATAGAGACTTATTATTAGTTATGCATGCTCGCTTTTAGTTTATGCTTGACCCACTGGCTCTTAGAACTTGATTTAACCTGTTTCTCTTCACTACATTTAGCTCCAGGGCTTTTTTACCTTCTTTTATTCTGCATGTCCTATTCCATGTCATCACTAGATGGTCCACCTGCCATTTACCCCATTGGTTTCTTCTCTTTGGTTTCTTCGTCCCAAATCTTGTACATGTAGCTGTTTGAAATACCTCTTATTTGTTTTTCTTAGAGGTTCAACCTTAATCTACAAATGCTTCCAGCCTTGCCTTTCTTTAACCAGCGCACACTGGTGAGTGCCTAGTTCTACGTCAACTTGACACAAATTGTTGTCGCCTGAAGGGAGGGCCTCAGCTGAGAACACGCCTCCCTAAGATCCAGCTGTAGGTGGGTCTGGAGAGCATTTTCTGAATTAGCAATTGATGGGGTGGCATTGCCATCCCTGGGCTGGTGGTTCTGGGTTCAACAAGAAAGCAGGCTGAACGAGCCATGTGAAACAAGCCAGTCAGCAGCTCCCCTCCATGTCTCTGCATCAGCTCCTGCCTCCAGCTTCCTGCCTTGTCTGAGTTCGTGTTCTGACTTTCTTTGATAATGAACTTCAATATGGAAGTGTAAGCCAAATAAACTCTTTCTTCCCCAGGTTGCTTTGGCCGTGCTGTTTCATCGCAGCAGTCGAAAATATAATTAAGGCGACCGAGTAGTCACTGTGCTCCAGGCACAGTGTGGGGCTGTATGAGGAATAGAAAGTTCCCACCCCCTACCCTCGAGAGCCTGAGCCCAGGGCACCTGGGAGCATCCAAGTGTGTTGGGTGATGCATGAATCCTATCCCAGGTGCTGCTCTGAAAAGCCAAAGGGAAAAACAATGGGGGCTTGAAGGAGCAAGGCCTAAATAGTAAGACCAAGGGGGGAAGAAGAGAGCCACAGGAAGACAGGCTCCACGGCCTCTCATTTTCTCCCAAGCCTGCCCAAAACATTTTCAGTCTGTTCAGCAATGAAGTAAACCCAGATCAAAAGTATCAAATTTTTGCATTAAACTCTACCAAGCCACATTTATTTTTATGTCTGATGTGTCTGACATCAAATAAACAGTTATTTTAGACATCGGGAGCATCACAACCCGTGACATAGGCAACCTTTAAAGAAATGAATGATTTATTTAAAAGGTTGAATGTGTCACATGAGCAGTTAGATCAGCAAGCAAAACACGAGACATGCTGGCAGCGGGGGCAGCCTGCAGCCTGCAGCCAGGGGAGCAAAATGGTTGCCGGGGCAGCAGGGATTTCCCTCCATAGTAATTAGCACGTGACCGAAGCTACATTGCCAGAGTATGCTCCTAATATCTTAATGTTATTTGTTGTGTAACTGACTTTTATTTGGTTGTTGGTTTTCTTTGCTGGGGTGGGGGGCAGGGCTCTAATGTGTAGCTCAGGATGGCTTCAGGTTTGCCAGCTTCCTGCCTTGGCTTCCCAAGTGCTGAGACCGTGTGGCGTGTGTGACCATGCTCGACAGTTCCTCTCTTTCTACGTGCTGTAAGAATGGAACCCAGAGTCTCACACATGGGAGGTGAGTCTCTATCCTGGAGCTGCACGCACAGCTGACAGATTCTCTTGGCTTTCGTCTGGGGCTGGGCTAGATCTTAGGAATCGATTAGGTGCTGTGCTAAGCTGCCCAGAGCTGGGGTAGCAGACATATTTGCAGGGTTGTTGTTGTTGTTCCTCTGTTACTTTGCCTGCTCCTGTGAAAATCTGTTGGGAAACAGAGAAGGGGGTATACCATAGTATTTGGAGGTGCTTGCCCCAGTGGTTTACAGAGCCCAGGAAGAATCCTATGTGGCCTGTTTCCCTGCAGGGAGTTCTTGTAGTCCAGTGCTCTAAACGGGCAGAGCCCATGAACCAAGAGACAGGTCAGTCTGTAAGGGGCTGAGGGAGGCTCAGGAGGCTGAAGACCCATCAGCAGCTGTGGAACTGCCTCTCAGGGTCTCGTCTTGTTCATATGTAAATAAGAGGTTGATTCTAGACCATTCTAAAGGTCTTGCCTGTTCCTAACACTCAATTACATGGCCTCTCTAATGTCCTTAATTGTAGGGTCTATGTCCTGTGTGTGTTTGTTCTTGTGTCAAGCACAATGCACCGTGCACTCACAGAAGATGTAGGGTTGCAGGGAGCTGAGACCGGAGTCCGGGGGTGGGGGTAGGGGTGGAGATGGGGTGGAGACTGTGATTCTCCTGAAAGGGAGGGGTTCGACCCAATAAGGAGACCCAATCCTGTCACTGTCCAAGAACTGCAGAGGGAGAGGCTGGGGAGGGAGGTCATTAGGGCCAGCGTCTGGAGGACTCTTTCTGTAAGTGGGGCAGCTCCAACACTGAGCAGAGGGGCCACACAGAGGACCCCAGGCAACCCTCCCACGGGGGGGGGGGGTAAGAGAAGCAGAGCAGAAGGGCAGGATTCTGCAGACCTCTCTTAGGCTGCTGCCCCAGAATATCCTGAGCCCCAGCGGTTCACAGAGCCCAGGAGCCCTCACCCAGCAGCACCTAGACAGGCCTACAGAAGAGGCGAATTCAGAGGACACGAGAGCGTGGGGAGGGTAGTGTCTCTACCCCCACTCCAACAGGCTTCTTACAAAAGCCTTTAAACCATTTTCAGCAAAAGCGAACCCATGATGAAAATTGCCAAAACAACCCAATTGGACCCACTGTCTCCCAGGGGTGGATGCACTGGGCTGTATTTTCCAACACTGAACCCCAAGCCTCCTGGCCCACACCTCGCTTGCACTCATACCCAGAATGGTACCCATCCGGTTCGGCATTAGGGGGTCTCAGACCTTACAGTAAAACCCTCTTTCCCGCTCAGCTTTATCCTGGAAGCTTTCTGGGACCCAAGATAACTTTCTCTGAGGGTCTCATTTAATGCCTGGACACTAGGACCCTGGGGATGCTGTCCCAACCTAGCCACATGCTGCATCTGCGTCAGCCAGGGGTCTTCAGAACAGAATAGAATAAATACATACTACAGAGAGGTTTATTATATTAGCTTACAGGACATGCACTGGGGAGTCCAGCAATGGTGTCTGCATGCTGGAGACACCAATACCTGGTGTTCCCATCTGATACTGAAGGCCTGGGGCACACTTGGAGAGCTGCTGGTCTTTAACCCACACTCTAAGGAAGAAGAAGTTGGGTTCTAATGTCAGTGAAGGAGGGCAGAACAATGGAACAATGGGGCGGGTGAGACACTGCTTCTCCTTGGACCTCAGTGTATCTGAACTGCCGCAGGAAGTACGGCCCATTTGGGGGCAGGAAGTACCGCCCATTTGGGGGCCAGTCTTCTCAGTTAACCCTTCCAGGAAATACCGTCCCAGACCCACCCAGGGGCTTGCCTTTTAGATAACTCCCAGATCTAACCAAGCTGACAATCAGGTTGGTCGTCGCCGTGTCTGACACGGCACGGCTGCATCACTTTGGCGTTCCCGTAGCTTCGAGCCTATGAGTTTGAGCTTGCAGCGTGAGCCATTCATCCACTTCTGCGTTCGGTCACCGTTTCACAGCGCTTTCCCAGGGGCCGCCTATTCCACCTCCCAGGGGCCTTCACTGTGTCTCAACTTCCTCTCCGGGGGTTCTTTGAGCCACAGGGTGAGGTGTCCAGTTGGAACGCGGAGAAGTCAGAGCAGCGCTGCTGGGGCTGTGAGCGCCTTAAGCGGAGAGAGTCAAGTGATCCAAGCCGGGCAGGCCCTGGGAGGACTCCTCTGCTGAGTCAGCGCCATCTGTTTCTGTTGTCTTCATGGCCTCTGCTTCCTTCCGATCATTGTACCAGGCCACAAATGGCTGCCATGGTTCCAGGTATAACATTATCACTTAAAGATGGGGTAGGGAGTTGCAGGGTGAGGAAATCTTTTTCAGAAGACTTCAGGGCCCCTCTGGGAATCCCTAGGCCAGCCAGTGATAAAGATGACCTCGTTTCAGATGGCCCAACTACCATTTACTCCTTGTAACTGGGAGAAGGCAGTTTGCCTTCCCTCTTACCAGTTTGGTGCCCCGTACTTGAAAATACCTCCTATCTATTGGTGGTTGATGAGAGCCACCCAGCCTGGAAGGGAGCTGCTGCGGGCACACCAGCCCCCACCCCTTTCCCTCTCTTGGTTCTCTCTGCAGCTACTCACAGACTTATTTATCACACCAGTGGCCCCTCACACCACCCGAGTGTGGGAGTTGATCTAGCATTCATGGCAAGAGCTCCTGCCTCCCAGAGCTCAAAGGTGCCATGAAAGTGGCCCCATATTTCAAAGGAAGGTTAGGTGACTCTGTCTTCCCTTGCGTACCCCCAAGTCTTCCTCCCACAGTGAAGTGGCCACTCCACAATTTGCCTCCTCCCAGGGTGCAATAGAGCAGGTAACTTGCATGACAGACAAGTAGGTGTGTGTTAATTCATTTTCTGACTAACCAGTGCCCATGTGTGTTGTGGAATATTAGTTAAAGATGTGTTGGATTTGTTTATGCCATAGAACATTCGTTTAACTCTGTGAAGCTGTGCTACTTTGCCTGTCTAAAACACCTGATAGGCTAAGAAAGAGCTGAATGGCCAACAGCTAGGCAAGAGAAAGAAGAGGTGGGGCTGGTAGGCAGAGAGAATAAACGGGAGGAGAAATCTGGGAGGAAAGATCAAGAAGGAGCAAGAAAAGGAGGAGGACACCAGGGGCCAGCCACCCAGCTGCACAGCAAGCCACAGAGTAAGAAGTAAAGGAAGGTAGATAGAATAGAGAAAGATAGAAGCCCAGAGGCAAAGATAGATGGGATAACTTAAGGCAGTAAGGAATAAGTCAACCTAAGGCCTAGTATTCATAATTAAGAATAAGCCTCCATGTAATTTAATTGGGAACTGGATGGCAGGCCTCCCAAAAGAGCAAAGAGTTAAAGAGTAAAACCAACAACACTTGTATCCTCAGAGGTGACATGACCCATACCCAGGCCACTAACGGTGGTGGGTAGCAGTGTGAATTACAGAAGCCGACCCTGCTGGCAGCAGGGGTGTTTGGGGCATAGTTTTCTCCTTATCTGCCCCTCTAGATAGAGAAGGAGAGCAGATACTCTCCATTCCAAAGCCCCCTGGTCACAGGGTAGAGGGAGCCCTGCAGCCTCGAGAAACACATTTTATCTCCCATCTGCACAGAAGTGAGCACATTGCAAGTTCTCCTCTGCTCTGTCTGGTCTCTCCTGGTGAGCTAGCCCTTGCAAGCGGCAGCTTGGGTTTTTGTTTTATCTTGTTTTTCTGTTGTTGCTGAGGTTGTTGTTGTTTTGTTATTTTTGGCTTTTCTTTTTCTTTTTTAAATTTTGTTTGTTGTTGTTTAAAACCCAGTCTCAGGTGTCCCTTGCTGGCCCTGTACTCACTACGTAGCCAAGGTGACTTTCAGTTTGAGCCTCCTTAATCCACCCCTTAAATGCTGGGATTACAGGCACCTGGTTTATGGAGCCTTGTTGTTCAAACTCAGTCTCGTGTTCACTAGAAAAGCCATCAGTCAACAGAGCTACGTCCCCAGGTGTCTTAGTTTGGGTTTCTGTTGCTGTGATAAAACAACCACGACCGAGATCAACTAGGAAGGAAAAGGTCTATTTCATCTTAAACCTCAAGGTCATACTTTACCACCGAGGAAGTCAGGGTGGGAACCTGGAGACTGAAACTGAAGCAGAGACCGCAGAGGAACGCTGCTTGCTGCTTTGCTTCTCACAGCTTGCCCAGCCGACTTTCTTATAGAACCTACACCCCTCTGCCCAGTGGTGACCCCACCCACAGTGAGCTGAGGCTTTCCCACACTAATCCCCAGCCAAGGAAACGCACCACAGGTTTGCCCGCAGACCCACCTGTTGGGGCATTGTCTCAGTTGCGCTTCCCTCTTCCACAATGACTCTAGCTTTTGAAAAGTCGACATAAAAACATGCGATCACATCAGCCCATGTGGCTGGTTCTTAATAAACACCCTCGGAACAGGGAAAGAGAAGAGCTCTGGGCTCAGGCATAGGAAGTTTACTGCTGTGCCATCCCAAGCCAATAAATACAGGCCTGGAACCTGGCCTGGCCGCTGGTCTCTCTCTAGAGTGTAAGAGATGCATTCTGATCCCTACCAGATACTCCGTATATTTCTGTTATTATTTGCAAACCTCACCACGGGGCTCTCACTGTTCCTGCACATTGTGGCTGAACCCCAAGACTCCAGCCAGCATCTCTGCTCTGATGAGAGCCTGATACTCAGCGCCTCCTCTCTGGCTCCCAATTCTTCCTCTCTGGGCCACCCGCCTACTTAGTTATGGCCCAAAAGTGTAAAATATTTATTTTATTTGGTTACCTAATGATATTAAAAACACAGTGTGTATTATTTATCCCCGGCCCTGGGAGACATGGCCGGCCCCGATGGTGCGTACTCTGCAGCAATAAGAGTGAGCATGGCTCTCCGGGCTGCACTTACTTTGTTTACTGCAGAATTTAGCACAGGTGGAGGGGCAGAGAGACTTTACCTTCCTCCTGGGAAGATTTTTCATCAGATTGTAAAAACGTAAATTTAAGTATGCAGCCAGGCCCTGGGGAGCTGGTGTTTTCCACTCAGTCTGCAATGCCTCCACTGAGCCCAGGGAGCAGCTTGGCATCCAACGTGACATCAGCAACTCTACAGCTGGCCCCTCTGGATGGACCTGCCCGATGTCACCAGAGTCCAGGCTGCATGCCATGCCTGCCGCCTGCCAGTTTGGACTGATAGAGCCCAGGAACCACCATCGCATGGTGTCCTATTAATTCCTCCCCTGTCTGTTGGTTTGAACAGAACACGGACCACCAGAGGCAGAAACCACCAGGCTAAAACCCTTGGCTTCGTCTCTCCCTGCAATGAAGACTTTGAGCTGATGGGGTCATCAGTGTGTATGTGTGTGTGTGTGTGTGCAGGAGGACAGGCGGGAAGCCAGGGCTTGACCTTAGATCATGTGCCGGGGACTCACCAAGGCGAGCCTGACAGAAATGTAGCTGATTTATCCTCCACAGCTGCAAATGGGCCTTCACTGTTGTTCTTCTCCCCACGGGGTCCTGATCTAGCAAACATCTTTCTGTCCTGACTTAGATATGTGGAGGCAGGCCCCGATTCTCAGCATTCCACAAACTTCCATTTTAACTGTGATTCTGGAGAGAACCAAAGCACGCAGCTTTCTGGTGCTCGGGGAGGGCTGCATCTTCCACATTGTAAAATGGAGCGCGTGTTGTAAGGACACGTCAATAAAACCGGGGAGCTTCTCTACCGAGGGCGTTCAGCCTGCTCTGAGCGAGAGGTGTGGCTGCAGATTCCTAGACCCAGGGAGGAGTCTGCCTTGTCCGCTCTGTGCAGTTGCTTTATGACATCTTGCTCTGGGGTGGGGTGGGTCATAGCCTGCTGTTTCCTCTTCTAGGCTGTCCCATGCAAGCGTGAAACTCCACGTACAGTCTTTCCTGCAGGATCAGGAATCCAGCAGGGAGGAGCAGAGATGTCAAGGAGAGGAGGGAGTCAGTGTGATGGCATGGGAGTCTCAACAAAGAGATGTCTTAGAGGCTTGGATGCTCAAGGTACCACAGAGTGGCAATGGCCCCTTCCCCGTATGCTGAGCCAGGGCTCAGGTGGCATGTAAGGGGTACTCTCAGTCCTTTGCACCCACTTTCTCAGGCCTGGAGCAACTTCTGTGGGCACAATGGCTGTTGTTTGAAAACTAAGGCAGGATGGGAAGAGTTCTGTACCGCGCCTGCTATCCAAGCATGAGGGCCTCAGTTCAGTCCCAGCAGCCACGTAAAACCCTGAGCATGGCAGTGTGTGCTCGCCAAGCTAGCACTGGGGAAGTGGGGACAAGCAGACCCCTGGGGCTCGCCGGTTAGCCAGCTTAGACCAATTGGTGAGTCGCAGCTCCCAGAGAGAGGCCTTGTCTCAAAAAAAAAAAAAAAAAAAAAAAATCAACAACAACAAAAAGCAAGAAACAGCCAAAGTTGACCTTGACCGCAACATCAGTAAGCACACACGAGTGTCCCCCTACGTGTACACACACAGCATGAACATGCACACGCATGCAGGTGCACACAATAATTGTTAAAGATTAAGACAGTTCTCCGTTCCCTGGGACCTCATGGTGAGCAAGGAGGCTGCTGGCAGCTGCTCGTAGGTGCCACCCACCCACCTCGTCATTCCTTGCCAAATTTATCAGAGCCAAACGGATTAGGAGCAAAATCATTATAATAAAAAATAAATATGTTGGGTGAAAAATGGATTATTAATTCAAGCTGTGCCCTGCATCCCAATAATAAATGACCCGGCACTGGGGGAAGCCGGCTGCTAAATTAGAACTAATGGGGGAAGGTGCGTGGGCCCCACCCGCCTGCTGGCCCGTGGGGGCCAGGCCCTCCTTGCTGTCCCCCAGCCGGCTGCTCCCCGTGTGACAGCTCCTGCAATCCCAAACTGACAGCTCCTCACAACTGCCGAAGGAATCCAGCAGTAATTAAGCCATTGCTGGACTGTAATTTCCTTGAGAAGTAAAAAATTCTCACACAAGAAAAGGTTACAGAGACCTTTTCCGTGTCAAAATTACCATGCCGCATGAATATTAATGTTCTTAATGAAGACAACCTTTTTTTCTTCAGGAAGGTTCTGGAGCAGGTGCCAAGCCAGGAATCTCACTCTGGGCTGCACAGTGACTTCCCCCCACAGCCACACCCCTTCCCTACCTGTCCCCAGCCCGCTGAGGGCCAGAACATTGTCCATCCTGAGGACAGCTCACCTGCCTCGCCTGGAAAGGTGCCAGGATTGAGACGGAGAGACACAAGGAGCTGGGCTCCTGCAAACCAACCTGTGTCCCCAGCTGCCCTGGCTGTGCCGGGAACACCACTGAGAGAAACATGCCATGGGGAGAGTGCCCTCCTGCCCAACCAGCCTTACCACTTCTGTCTCAGAAACCGTGTTGGGTGGAGGAGACTGATCTTTCACAGGGCCCTGGGGTCACCAACTTGTATTTTCTGCCACCGTTCTCTGGAGAAACAGGAGTGGCCCTGAGGTGTACCACTGTACCACATGGAGGGTGGCCCATCAACCTGGGGTCTGCATCTCTCTCTGCTCTGCTTTCTCAGGGTACGGATAGACACCTCACTGTCTCTGGGCTCTGTTTTCTCTCCCAGAAGAGTAAGAAGCTCCTCAAGAAGGTCCCCATGGCCTTGGGGACATTGATAGAGGGGCTTTGGGACTCATTAGGGGGCCATCTTAGCACCTCTAGTCAGAGACTCAAGGTGTAAATATTGTCAAGAATATGGTGAAATTTCAAATGTTTATATTTGTGTAGGGATGAAGGGGATGAGGGCAGGTGCATGCCTGTATCTAAGTCAGAGGACAATCTGCAGGAGCCAGTCTGCAGCTTCCTGGAATTAAATCCTAGTCTTCACATTTGGTAACAAGAGCCTGGACCACTGAGTCACCTCTCTGGCCTGTTGATAGTATGGCCAAGGGCTTTTGGTCCCTGGTTACCATGGTTTATTCTGTAGTCCCTTATTCTGTGGAAATATGCAGAGCAAAAAGCAGGCAGGCTGGCCACGTTAGACACAATCCCCGTGCTGAGGAGGTCGGGAGCCTCCCCAGGGGTGATGAAGTCACCGGTTCTAGAACAAAAGGAGATGGCTTATCAAAGCAAACCTGTGCAAGGACTACTCACTTAGAAGTCTGTCTACATAGAAAGTGCGCAGCGTGATGGCCGCATCTATCCACAGCAGCACCTGAGTACATGTCCAGATCCCGATGCATGGCTGTATCCACACTGGTCAGAGGAGAGGGCCCAAGAGGCAGCTGCCACTGGGTGTCACCCCTGACCCCCAAGCCATAGGATATATCACCTCTGGCATCGCTCTCCTTCATTTTTCAGTGATTAGTCATTTGTGACGTAATACGGGCCATGGTTAACCAGTAATAATAAATCTGGCTGTTTTGGTGAAGGCGTATAAGACTGTGTGTGTAAAAGGTAAGTTTGATATACAGCTGGGACGCTGATGTAATAGCTATTAGATTTATAACACACCCAAGAAGCATAATTTCACTATAAAGAGCAGTAGTTTACAATCTTATTATTGTTTATAACTGACGTCAGCGCAGGCCCATGGTGAGAGTCAGACTGCGGCTGTTCTGCCAGAAATGGCGCCCCTCCTGAACCCTCAGAAGTTTTGAAAACCACACCAGTCAGGTGTGCTGCCTACAGCTACACCAACCTGTGCCATCTGTTAAAAACTTGTCCTGAGAAGTGGGCTGATTCCCCAACAGGAGACACCAGTGAGATGCCATGACACGGCGCACGAGCACAGCCCCCACCACACAGCAGGACCTAGCGCCACTGTCCCAGGAAAGCAGAGACCTCCAGATGCTGTGCACTGGAGCTGGCAAGGGCCTCGGGGGTCTTGAGACCGTGAGGAGTTGGGACCGTTGTGTGTGGGTTTTACTTGCAGGCTGCCAGCAAGGCAAAGCTATCAGAGGAATCCTGACTCTTTTCATTGTCTGCAGGTTTTTAGATTCACCGTTCTCAATGGCGTTTTCCACTTCTCCTGGACAAAAAGGAGACTTATCATCTTGGGCCTCCAAGCCAGGGCACGGAAGACAGAAAACCTTAACTGCAGTGCCTGGTCCCAGCTCCTGAAGACGTGTGCAAGTTTTATGACTGAGGGCTCTGCTGTTTAATGTCACCAGAACAAGCTGATGGAGTCACAGCCTTATTAGGTAAATCATCTGAGCTTCAAGGGCTGAGCACCATGGGTGGGCTGGAGCTGCCGCAATTGAGGGCCAAGCCCAGTGGTGATGGGCGGGAAGGAGTCTGGTGCCTGGAATGGGGACATGGTACACTATACATGAGCCCAGGTGGACACCAATAGCAAACACTAGCTCCTGTATCCTTTCTTCATTGTGTCCGAAGCCTGCTTAGAAACAGTAAAAGGTACTAACAATGATTGTCCCTAAATTATAAGTGCTTCTTCTATAAGCAGCCAAAGCAGAGTGGGAGGTTCTGAGCAGCAGGTGCCAGCGGGCTCCTCTCTTCAAATGTGTGAGAACTGCTGGCTATCAGACAGATGTGGCGGGGAGAACCTGGCTATCAGACAGATGTGACGGGGAGAGCCTGGCTATCAAACAGATGTGGGGACAGATGTGGCAAGGGGAGCCTGGCTATTAGACAGATGTGGCGAGGAGAGCCTGGCTATCAGACAGATGTGGCGAGGAGAGCCTGGCTATCAGACAGATGTGGCGAGGAGAGCCTGGCTATCAGACAGATGTGG